TGGTAGCGATCTCACCGGCTGTGTGCAGGAGCGTCCGCTCTTTACCGGTCCGGAGCTCCTGGGGTCCGGGCGGTGAACACCGCGGTCCCCTCCCTTGGGAGGACGGACAGCTCGTCGCAGCCTTTGGAGGGCGAGCGTTTTTCCTAGCCCGCAGCTCCGATCAAACGATCGCAAGGCTACAGGTAGCGATGAGCTAGAATCCCAATTTTCAGTAAGCTTAGCTTGGCTTCTACTCATAAGTAGTAACCTACGCAGCGAGAAGATGAAAAAGGACTGAGCCCGTTGACAGCACCGGAACTTATACCTTCCGGTGTCATACGGGGTCACACGTGACTTTGTTGATATAAATATTCGACCTACGCATGCGCGAGACAGAAGATATCCAGTGCTAAAGCACCGCCTCTGGCGGTCAGTAAGTATGAAATAGAACACCCATTCTAGCCATGCCTCATATCCCTCTATTTCTCTTCCTGTTCCAAAAGTGCTGATTCTGGGTATAAACAGGTCTCTCTTGAGAATGAGACCCTGTGTCTCAATGAGATTTTCTGAAATTATTATTATTATTATGATTATTTCTGAAACAGTATGGAGCTCAAAGGCTTTCTCTCTTGCCGGTTATACCACAAGGTGAGTTCCTTTTTATTTCCTGCTTCTTCACACACATGCTCTCTCCAGTACAGGTTAGCTCTAAGTGTTAGCGATGCTAATGTCAACACCGACCATATTACGTCCAAAACAGTCGGCCATTGTTTCTGATAGCAACGTTTCTGATAGTGCTGTGGGTCCGCCGCCGATATTACGTCATATCGGCCGCAAATCTGGATCAGCTCCGTTGTATCCCCGTTTTTAGAGATTTGGGTACGGAGGAAAAGAGAGAGGGTTTTATTTTCTGACGCTGCGTGAGTTCCCTGACACACCGGGGACACATATGCATGTACAGATGTAGCACCTAATTTCGGACAGTTTGAAACGCGAGGGCCGTGGCCGGCACGGGGTCTGCACTCGCTCAAAGGAAAACCTACAGCGTGACTTGAGACCGCCCCCTTGATAAATAAATGTAATTATAATGAAGCCAGCTGCAATGGATCATTGATCCACCAGGGGGTGCAGTGGGGTTCCACACTGGAGCTCATGTGAAATAAAGTCTGATACAGTCTGGTACTACTGTATAGCGGATCATTGTTAAGATCCATATGTCACGGATAGGATCATACTCTGTGCTAAATAAGAGACATGTAATCATTTACAAAACATCACCATGTTTTTATTTAACAAAATAATGTTGTTTAGTCCACAACTACTGTACAAAAAACATCAGGAAGCCCACCGGCTCCAAAAACGAACGGGAGGAAATGCAGCCCGGCTCTCGATTTTTAATCCTAATTTAATCATCATCTTCACCACGATCATTTATGTTTATGTTCGCCGAATTGACATGAAAGCACTGACAAATATGAATATACTGTATTCAACTTCATTAAAACGTTATTAACGTGCCTAAACTCAGTAATTCACTAAAAATATTTATATTTTAATGGAGCCTCGTCAGGCAGATCAGGATCCCGACGCGTAGCGGAGGGATCTTGATCAGCCTGAAGGGTGTTATTGCACATTATCCCGCTTATTACATGGCCACATTCTCAACAAAGTAACGACATGACTGCCAATATTAATTGCAATGCTTTTATGGATTTAGAAAATGTTTTTATTGATTTAAAAAATAGTTGTATGTATTGATTTAAATTGACATGCGTGTTTACACACCTAATGGCCCATCAGCCACAGCCACTATCCATATTCATAATAATATTGATATTCTGTCCATCCTGGGAGAGGGATCCCTCCTCTGTTGCTCTCCCTGAGGTTTCTCCCATTTTTCCCTTTAAACTGTGGGTTTTTCTCCGGAAGTTTTTCCTTGTACGATGTGAGGGTCTAAGGACAGAGGGTGTCGTTTTCTCATACTGATATTCTGCACAAACTGTGCTGTTGTATTTGCTGTAAAGTGTCTTTACTGTAGAGTATTTTTATTATATGTACAGCACTTTGGCTCGACCAAAAATTGTTTAAAAATGTGCTATATAAATAAAACTTGATTTGATTTGATATATTCAACAACCATTTTTAATGTAAAAGGTTCATAAAATAAAAACACAACACTGTCATTGCAAGTGACACTCAACATAAAAGTCACAAAGTCAACATAAAAGACTTGACTTTTATGTTTTTATGTTCAGTGAAGTGTTTTATTATTTTCGGGACGGGGAGACGTGTGATTAAAAATGAGTGACCAAACTAAGTCTATTCAAATTCAAATTCTTGACGGGAAGAGCGGTGTACATGTAAATGGGTGGCATAGGCTATATGCATTTGAAAATAAATAGTACCCCCCTCTGAGTGACTATCTGTTGACTTCACATCTTGTCACAAACCAGGGGACTTTACTTCCTCTTAGTGAGTTTATTTAAGGTAATTATAGAAGCCCTATTTTATCAGTATGTCTGCACAGCAGTTACAATGGTAAAACTACATTAAAACAGAATTGTCCCCATTGTTTCTTTAACATTAGATATTTTAATGAGATTAATTAATCAAAATATGTTCTTACAAATGTTTTTTGACTGAATGCTAATAAACATATTTATTATTTATATTTTATTATCTTCACTCAAGTGTGATTCTGAAGTCGTCGATTTTCAGGCTTGCTCTGTGGGTTTTTTCATTCATATACTGCAACTTTGAGAGAAAGATGCTTAATTTCCAGATTATTTTTTTTAATATTGAAGTTAAAAGCATCAATCTGGTGTACTTTGAGAGCAACATGAAGAGATCTATGGATGCATCTCTCAACACCCATATGAAACAGACCTGTAAGCAGATTTTCTTTTTCTTTATGGATATTTTACAAATCACTCCCCTTTTAAACTGTATTCTTGTTTATTAATAACAACTTTTTTTTACTGTCATATAGTATTTAATACTATAAGAGAATAGATGAAAATCTATTCTCTTATTTTTTTATAACTATAATGATCATATAAAGGTGTGCCTTTACCTCACTGAGCTGAGGTTATCAGAGCCGCTCAGTCTTTCAGGAGAGAGCTCTCTAATGGCGCATTTCCACTACACGGCCTAACTGTTGTGGTGGAACATATTGGGACATAATTCACTGTTGTAGTATGTAATCATTTACACAACATATAAGACTGGCATATAGTTTCAAGCCAGTACTTGTCCGGACTGTGATCTGATCACGCCGGCATTATTCTTATTCTTATCATTCTTTATGAGCGCAGTAATGGTAAGGTGGCCTATCTAATTACTTATTTATAAAGTGGAGACAAGGTAGAAATCCTACAATGAAGCAGGACAGTGAAGTGTTCTCCGTGAGATCCAGAAACTAAAACTAAGTTCTATTCAAATTCAAATTCTTGACGGGAAGAGCGGTGTAAATGGGTGGCATATATGCATTTGAAAAGAAATAGTAATCACACAGTTATCATACAATAGGCTTAAACAAATATAGCTCTACACCCCTGGCCGAAATGTCCTTAAAATGAAGTCCGAGTTCGACATTTTAATTCATGTCCTGCCAACACTGGCAGGACAGAAGGCGACACGCCCGTTCTAAGCCGTGTCCCTCACTCCTCACATCCCAAGCTGCATCCCCAAAAAGTGTATTATGTTGTTACATCGTTTCAGATGTTATGTTTCAGTTGTGCTCTTGATAAGCCATTAAAACAGTAAAAACACGTTCAGTTTCCTTTTGCTTTTTGTGTCTCCTGTTCACCAAAACATACCCATCTGTGATGGAAAAAGAAAGTAATCCAAAAGTAATCTAAAAGTAATCTGAATACGTTACTTTTTTAAGACACGTAGGCCTAACTGTAACTGTATTCGGATTACTTTCAGAGCCATGTAATCAGTAATCAGTAACTGATTACATTTACAAAGTAACCCTCCCAACCCTACACTAGACATTTTTCTTGGATTTTTTTAACACCATTGTCCCTAATATATTTGTAGAAAGGCAGGAAATTGAATTAAATCGGAAAAATGTTTAATTGTGTTTCGTGTCCCCCCCCCCCCACTTCTCAAACCAAAGTTACGCCCTTGGATTTCAAACAAAGTCACGTGACCACAACAATATTAGAAAAAATATATAGGCTATTTGTATTTATTTTAGGATCTTAAAATCAGACCTGTTTTTTAAATGAAATCTGATGGCAGGCAGGCAGCTCTGATCACCTAATGATAAATGCGCCACACCTAATCGCCGGCCATTCAGCCACAGCTCCCTCTATGCAAATCAAACTGTAGACGGTGTGAAAGCGCCTATTGTTTTAAATAATGGTCGGAATGTGAGCCTTCTCAATTACCGTGGGACAGCAGAGAACTCTAAACAAAAATGTTCAATCAATAAAGTAACATCTTATCTTATCTTAATAATATCTTCATATTAATAATAATAATAAATCATACAGTATGTGTCCGAAAGGGAGCAGGAGGAAGCAAACACCAAAAAAAATATTACAAAATATATACTGCATATTAAAGCAAACTATTGTAAAGGTAAAAGTATGAGCATAACAAATAAAGAAGTGTAAACATTTGCATTATTATTATGATTATTTAATATATAAAGACTATATATTATTGAATTACAAGATTAGATATACTTTATTTGATCTAAAATATTGATGTTTTTTCGTTATACTGTAGTAGCCTGTGAAAACCATAACAAATATGTGTTCAAATGCTCTTCACCAAAACACAACTGAAGTACTGAAAGTCCATGAAACTTGTCTTTCTGTATTTGTGAATGAAGCGCCATCTCATGGTTAAATCCTGAAATTGAAAATCTGGCAACGCCCTCTTGGAAAATAGTGGGAGGGCTTAACATTCCCAGCCGCTGGGATCCCTTGGGTCTTTGGCAGGAAGCTGTTGGCTGGAGTCCTTTCTAGAGTGCTACTGTATCTGTATAAAATACATTTAACTGTTACCTGGTAACCAGAGGGTTTTTCTTGTTAACAGGACCGAGTTTGGGTCCGTGGTCTGCCATATGCTCATACACTACGTTTCCCACAATGCAGTTGGCAGCCTAGAGGAAAGAAGAGGAGGAACATAATAAACACCTTCTAACGAGCAGCCGCAGCATACTGTACTTTGTGTATTTTAGGAATGTGTCTCCAAATACACTGTTCTCATGCTGACAGTGCACCTTTTGGGTCGTTAGTATACAGGTGATAAATATAAATGACAAGTCCAGTATCTATATCAGCAGCTCCTTCCAACAGGTATCAGGTTTGGCTCCAGCTGCCTACCATGTGCACAAACATGTCTGTATGTACAGCCTGGTCGTATCATGCTCTAGCACTGCTTCATACTTATCATTATATTATTATTAATGTACATCAGTAGGTACCCCCATTACCTGTTCATGATGCTGGTGCATGATCTGGTGCTGCTCTTCATTCAGAGCGTCCAGTTTCTGTTTCAGCCAACCACAGCACTCCTCGATGTGCTGAGGGGTGGAGCTACAGAGAGTTTCTTTATTTTAATTACGTGACAAAAGTATTTATAATATATATATATATATATATATATATATATATATATGTATATACAGTTTATATAATGTATAAAGTATATATAATATCTCCAAAGTTATGCAATCAAAGGATCATTAAGAAGCTGCTTCATCTAACAAAAGCAAAGCCGTAGGAGGTGAGCTAATCGCAGGTTTGTTTCAAATTTCAATTATCATGTCCTTTCAGCAGTTAAGAAGAAAACCTTCATACAAAGCCCTTTTGAACAATAACAATAGCAGTTTGTATTTTTTAGTCGGACCTGTGAGGCACAAAGGTCTCCAGAGCAGAGTCCATGTCCAGTGTGTTGCCATAACGATGGTAACTCAGGTCCTGAATGATCTTCAGGCCCTTCTTTCCCCCAGTCTTGCTCTGGTCTGGCTTGGTGCCTAAAAACAAATACATGTCTCTTAGATATCATCCAGATCAAATGTCTCTGTGTTAGCACGCCAAAACTAAAGTGGACAACCAGGGCTTGATGTTAATTAGCATCAGGGCAAGTAAACGTTTTATTTTGCTGATTTAATGGTTTGCCTCTAAGGATAAGTGAGCCGCTGCTTAGCATCAGACTCTCGTTTAACAAGCTATGAATAGAACAAAGATGCCGGCAACAGCATTAGAGCCAGCATACTTTTACATCTAAAGCCCCGGACACACCAAGCCGATTTTGGCCGTCGATGGATGTCAGGCCGACGATGAGCGTCCTGTTGCCCTACTCAGATTGGTGTGTCCCGCACCGTTGTGTCTTTTCGGCTGTGCCGACACCTTTTTGGCCGAAAACCTAGTGATTCGACATGTCGAATCGGTAGGCAATCGGCCAAAGGCTGTCGGTCAAAATCACTCTGAGCCAACAGAAGGGCAAGTGTTACATAGTGATGTCACTATGTTCCTGAAGTAAATAAAGGAGTCCGATTGAGGCGTTTCAGGGAGGAATTATGACCTGTTATGACCTTCCTGACTCTATCTCTAAGCAGCTTATGATGACATGAAAGCATTGATAAAGCAAGTATCTAAATAAAAAGAGTATTTGTTGTTATGTTCAGTCCTGCTAACATTGGTAAAGGTCTGTATACAGTCATCTGGCAGATCAAATATGCTTCTATTTGAATCAATACAGTTGTTTACAGAGTCATGTGTCTGAACTCCTCCTGTGTACACACTGAGTCCGCTGCTGCTGTGCTGCTGTGCTAACATGAAGGTTTGCAATAACACTGATCTCCAGCACTGACCGTTGAGCAGCAGGGTTCTGAACTGCTCCACAGCCAGGTCCACTTTGATCTGGAAGAACTCCCACAGTTTGATCTCAGGAAACAAGTCCTCCCACAACACACTGCGGATGGCCTGAGAGGAGCAAACACACACATGATCAATATTATTAGATCAGCCATTATTACTTTAAAAATTGTAACATGCTAGTGCATTTAACATTAGAAATAAATCATAATGCAAACACACATTTTCACAAGTTGTTCCAATAATGTGTTCAGTAACCGTGAAATATAGCAGCTCTGTTATTTGCTTTCATTTCATTCCTATATTTTTTAATGGACCTACATCAGTGTCAGTAGTGTGGAATCCAAATGAAATTATGCAGTCCTTGTAACATGTTCAGCAAAAAGAGTTAACCTGAACTATCAATACATCCTTTAACAAAGGAAAGGAGATAATGCTGTCCCACAATACCTTGCAGCAGCAACATTTAACCTGTTAAGCCCTGAGCCTGTTTTTCAGGTCTCAGGCTCGAAAATGACATTCCCAGAACAAATGACCATATCTTCCCTTCTAAAAGGGTTAAATTAATAATCTTTTTTCTCAAAGTAATGATAAACCTGTGAGTTGGATGTAGAAAAGTCAGAATCAATATAGATGTTTTTTATTTTAAAGAAAATTCAGATTTTACATAGTAAAAAATTGTAAATTATAGTGTCCGTCCAAAAATTATTTTTTACTTATAGTGAAAACTACCCTTGGATGATGGGTTAGTAGACCAAAAGCTTTAGGAATCCAAAGTACAACATATAATAAGTACCCTGTATCAAGATTGATGCAAAACAAGTGACATTTGACCTTTTTAGAGAGATTTAGCAAAAAGAAACCACTTCTGGGGTCATTTGGGTGGATTTTCCATATCTCTGGCCCCCCTTGCTCGATTTTGATGGTTGACACCTCTTTCTGACCGTTAGAGCCAATATAATCGAAGGGGGAGTCCCCCACACACACACGTTGTGAAGAGAAAAGGTGGGGGCTTCGCGCATGTAATTTAGCATCAGAGTGAACCTATCTCTAGCTTTGACATCTGGAAACGGAAAAGCAGTTTTAATGCTTATGGATTATCAGAAATTATTTCAAAGGGACACAGACACATTAGATTAACCTATGGATTAACTTCAGCAGCGTTTTTATCGTTTTAATGCCATTGAAGACCACTTTGGAGAGACTACAGAGCCAAGTCAAATGTTAGCATTTTTAGCTACCTAGCGTCACCTGTTTTGATGTCCGTTTTTGCTTATAACGTCGCAAATACGTATAATTCAGTGGTAATGTCGGTGTCAATCGATTCTGTGTCACCTTAGGTTGTGAAACGATGTGTTGGATGTGGTGAAAAGATAAATAATAAGGTTTTGTGAGTGATCTTCGATGCAGTAAGGTGTTAGCATTTTTCGCTCGTTGCTAATTCAGAGGCTCAGTGTTAGCATTGTGGGTTTTCTTTAAAAAAAAAAAAGAAAATTATCAGTTAGATGAGTTTCTTCCCGTTACATGGATATAAACATTCATAGTTTTATTAAATGAACATGCCCTCAGACACTGTTTCCTGCAAGATGTTGCGGCAGTGCCCCAGTACCGGGGTCTCTCGGGCTTAACAGGTTAAAGTGATGCAACAACTGACCGATTGTGGCCGACAAAGAAGGATCATGTAGGTTATGGTGCTTATTCAGCATTTTCCATCTCATGCCAAATCTTACGAACGTGCTTATATGTTTGAACTTTCATCAATATCTTAAACCAAAAGCAGAAATATTAATATTGGGCTAATTATAGTAAAGATGGTTAAATCATGTTTCAGTGTTTACTGAGTTGGGTGGTGCTTATTGGTGCTATTCTTTTTTTTAATGCAACATGGTTGAATGATGATTTAAACACTATTAGATGTGTAGGCCTAACAAGTAATGGATATTTTTGCATTAAAGTACTATTTATCAAAAAAGCTTCCTACAATAATTGAGATCAATTAATACCAAGTGGACAGGATGATGAGCACCATTACCTTTAAATCAAATTTTTGTATTTGAATTCAAAACTTGGTATTTAAGTTATATATCTTTCACTGTTGTCCACCTTGAAAAATCTAGCTAGTTTGCCACAGCAGACGAGCATCAATTTAATCTGCTGGCGCATCATAATAATGTCTCCCAAAGTTGGTCCAGTCTCTTTTCCTACGTCCTGATGAATTCTCCTTTACATCTTTCCTTAACCCCATGAGATTTTTCACTGAGGTTAAGGAAAAGTGGTTAGAAAAAGGCATAGCACCTGATTTGTAATCTATTCAACCACAACCTGTATAGTTCCCTTTGAGCATGATGTGGTGGCATCGTAATCAATCAGGCTTTACTCATCATTGCACATTCATGCAACAAACAGAGGAGATGTTTTTTACACTTGAGCGGTACATTTGAACTTTAATGTGTAAAGGTTCTGTTCATTTTTTGTTAAATCTATATAGCAAAGCATGAGGTAACGTCTAAATTATGCTCGTATGATATACAAATGTGTATCTTCTACATCACAGTCATGAACATAGTGTACTCACAGTCAGATGGCTCTCCTTGGTGATGTCAGCAGGAAGTCCTTTAGCGGCGTAGCGTCCCTCTGCTATCCTGGTGGTCAGATGCCAGATGGCTCTGTCTAAGACCCAGGCTGGGCGCAGGTGGGGAGAGTTCACCAGGTTGTACCCACATTCTGGGTGTTCTTTGATCCACACACTGTTAGAAGCTGCAAAGAAAAACAGAAACACTAACGGCCCGTCCACACAGCGGCGTGCGTTGTCGCTTGCCGGCGGGCATGTCTGAAGCTAGACCAACAACCAATCACCTGAATCTCCCGCCCCGGACACACAAGCAGCGGTTTGATTGGCTAGAGCTTGTACTGGCATATGATTCGATTGGCTGACGCTTCGGTCGAAGCTTCAAAAGTAGAACATTGCTCAACGCGAGCAACGCGAGCAACGCGAGCAAAGCTACGCTTCGCTCCCACAATGCAGTTCGGCGAAGCGTGACGTCACCCCATTCAAAGTGAATGGGCTGAAGCGTTGAAGCTTTAACGCACGCCGCTGTGTGGATGGGCCGTAACTGTCTAAGGTATTACGAGTGCTTGAAACGTGTTAGCAACAATGGTGAGGATGAACCAGAAACAATACAAGGTGGGAATAACTTCAATGAAGAAGAAGAAGAAGGGCGGTGGTGGCAACTGGAAGGTCACCAGTTCAAGTCCCGGCAAGACCAAGTGCCACCGATGTGTCCCTGAGCAAGGCACCGTTCCCTACACTGCTCCCCGGGCGCCGTTCAGGCTCGGTTCGCTGATGGCCGGCACCGCCCATTATATATATATATTTTTAAACGGCATCATTTAAAGGTCACCTATCATGCTATTTTTAGGCAATAGCATAGGTCTCAGATATATAAAAAAATATAAAAAACATGTCTATGAAGTGTTTTGCTCAAAATACCAAACAGATCACCCATTCTAGCCATGCCTCATACTGTATCCCTCTATTTCACTTCCTGTTTCAAAAGTGCTGATTTGGGGTATAAAGCTTGATTTAAAAAAAAAAAAGGATTTTAAAAAGAGGAGGGGGCTGAGCTCATGCGGGAGATTCTACCGGCAAATACTGCCGTGATGAAACGCCATATCATGGATTATCAAGGATTATTTACACAAGGTGAATTCTTTTTATTTCCTGCTTCTTCACACACATGCTCTCCAGTACAGGTTAGCTCTGAGTGTTAGTCATTGTTTCTGATAGCATTGTTTCTGATAGCAACGTTTCTGATAGGGCCGTGGGTGTAAAGCCAGCCTACATTTCCGATATTACGTCATATCGGACGCAAATCTGGATCAGCTCCATTGTAGCCCCGTTTTTAGAGATTTGGGTACGGAGGAAAAGAGAAAGGGTTTTATTTTCTGACGCTGCGTGAGTTCCCTGACACACCGGGGACACATCTTTATGTATAAAAGACATCAAAAAGTGCATTTTGCATGATAGGTCCCCTTTAAGTTGCGCTGACAGGCGACAGAGATCCACAGTTTCCCCGCAGCGAGGCTCCCCCCGCCCTCCTGTTGAAAGTTCACGAGCGTCGAGCTCTCCCAGCCCCCCCCCCCCTCCGTTGACAGTTAACAAGCGTGCTAGACCAATTTGTGTGGGCTGGGCTGGGTCACAGTCCAGGGCTGATTTTCAGTCCCAGTCCGCCCCTGATCAGCTGTTATCTCTTCTCTGTAAACTGTACTGTTCTGTAGGCTAATACTAAGTGTGAATCCATACGCCTACTGCCTGAATCTGCTTTATGGTTTTCACTTTCTTTGCTTCTTTTCTAAGATTACATTGTTCTGTTGTCTTAAATAATACACTTAGACAAAAAACATCTTATTTCTTTTCTTTTCTCTTTTATTTATTTGCATTGGATTTGATACTGAGGGAATCCAAAAGAAACAGAAAAGAATCAGGTAAAATTCCTCTTTTTTGATACTCAGATTAGGTTACTCATTACTTTTTGTTTTACAGATAACTAGTAATACATTTTTTAAAGAACCCTTCCACCCTGATGATCTTTTGGAAGAGTTGGTAGAGATGTACAGCTGTACAGATATACTGGCACTTGGTCAGGCAGTAACTCCAGCCTCAGCCCAGTCAGGCTCTAACCTTTTACTCAGGCTCAGTTTACTGCTTGACCTTTTCTGGGGCAGGGGGGCGGAGGAGGTGATAAGAGTAGATGGGTAAACATGGACACAATGCTAACATATGTCCTTTCAGTTACCTACATGTTAGTGTGTTTACCTTTCATCTATGAGATACACCTCATACACCTCACCTTTATCTCATGAGCTGGTACGACAGCACAACGGTGTGAATCTATGTTTCCTGAAGGTTCCAAACACTGCTTTATACGGCTTCATGCCACTGGCCTCTTTAGTAATGTGATGTTAGCTCCTGGTTTAGCATGCTGCTCACACTTCACAGTGTGTGTGTGTGTGTGTGTGTGTGTGTGTGTGTGTGTGTGTGTGTGTGTGTGTGTGTGTGTGTGTGTGTGTGTGTGTGTGTGTGTGTGTGTGTGTGTGTGTGTGTGTGTGTGTGTGTGAATACAAATCACTTGCTTCTTCCACTGGTGCTGCTGAAGTTGTTATGCTGTAACATTTCTGGACACTTCATTTACACAATTCTACTTTAGAACAGATAACTTTATGCCACAGGTGGGGGGGGGGGGGGGGGCTTTGTCATTTGCTAGTAAATACATTTAATATCCTACATATTTTTCACAGTTAACCCTTATAACAGCAAAATGCAGGAGGTACCTGGCTGAAGTAAAATAGCGCACATGAGATAGGTAAATCAAATATTTTGTTTATTTTAGGGCTGTCAAGTTAACACGTTAGTAACGCGTTAACACAAAACATTTTTAACGCCACTAATTATTTTATAGTGCGATTAACGCATGTGTATTTGTCCTTGGCCCGCCCCGTAGTTTCAGAGCCCAAAGGCTTGACGTTGTTGTTGTTGTTAGTTGGATGGAGGGAGATTCTAGCGAGAGATATGGATACAAAAAAAGGTGTTTTAAACAGCAAGCCAAGCACACAGCTGATGCTGACAGCCCCGCTCCTGCCGCTCGCTTGCGGCAGACCACGCTTGAAAGTTTGCCGGGGAGACGCCTGGACAACAACAGCGATAGCTAAATGGGTGGCTACAGCTTAACATTGTGGAGGACGAGGGGCTGCGTTAGATAATTCGGATCACATCCAACGTGTCGACTGCACATCACAGCACATTATTTTGACCCACAGTGGGAACTTCAGTCTCATGCTTTGACTGAAGATGAAGACAGAGGAGCGGCATTTCGCCGACAACTGTAAACAGGCTTGTCTGTTTGAGCAACTGGCTCAGTGCAAAGAAGTACACAGGGTTGGGAGAGAGTGTAAGAGAGAGAGAGAGGTTCCAGGTTGTTGTGTTGAGAATATTCAGGAGAATATTTGTCATTGTTCAAATGATAATAAACAAACATTTGCATAAAGCATATTTGTCCACTCATATGTTGATAAGAGTATTAAAAACTTGAAAAATATTCCTCTGAGGTACATTTAGAACAGATAAAAAATGTAATTTGCGATTAATCGCGATTAACTATGGACAATCATGCGATTAATCGCGATTAAATATTTTAATCGACTGACAGTCCTAGTTTATTTCTATGAGATGGGGAAAACGATAGGGGGAACCTAAAATAAATTATTTAAAAATGTTTTTGATCTGTAACAGTGTATTTTCACTTATTTTGTATTTTATATTGTATAGATACTCTATAAGTATATATCTTTATATTGTTGGTTTGTATATACAGGGTTCTTACACCTTTTCCAAAGTCAAATTCAAGCACTTTTCAAGCATTTTCAAGCTTTTCAAGCATCTTACAGCTGTTGTAAATTACATATTTATATACACATACTTATACTCAAATGATTATTTCCCTACCTCACATTAAATCAGATGTTCTTTATGCTATAAACAACCAAATGTGTGTTTCATAATAGCATTCTACATGAGGATGAAAAATTTAAAATGTTAGAAAAGAAAACTAAGTTTAATATTTCAAAATGAGTGACCCATCTGTACGTAGACTGGGCCTCCCATATAACCTGGCTGAGCCAATATAAAACAATCAGCCAAATAACTTTTCAATATATTATTGATTACTATTTTTGAGGTACTTTTAGGTTGGCAGTAAACACAAGTCAGAGGTAAATGGTGTACTTTGACTCCACTACATGTATTTAATACCTTTAGTTACTTTACAGATGTGGATGAATGATGTGAAATATAATCAAGTGTTAAATCAGACTTTAGTTCCACCTGGAGTAAATTCACAAGCTACCCTGCAGTATACAAAGTCATTCAAACTAGCTGCAACTTTACCAGCTTTGAGAACACTGTAATGATCAATCATTATAAAACATAGCATATACAATTATTAGGGATGCTCCGATCGCCAATTTTGGAGCCGATCGCCGGAATCAGTATCGGCCGATACCATAGACTGTATATATAAAGGCCGATACCGATATCGCTCTCTTTTCCTCTCTCCCCCTCTCTCTCTCCCCTGACAGCCTGTCAGTATCTCCTGCAACTCACTGATCCAGTAATGAGCGACCCGACAGTGAAGAATAAATATATTTATAACTAGTTTAGCTTGTTCCAGAGGTAGATAAAATAGCTAAGTGTGTTAGGTCTAACTCTTAATGTGTGTTCTGCTCCGCTCACCGGTCCGTCACAGCGGGTGGAGCTGCAGGATTTCTGCTTCACACACACGTTGCATACCGCTATTTTATTGTCATTTTCAGACACTTAAAATACTGCCAGACTAGTGAAGTCATTTTGGCGAGCTTGTTTTGCCGCGCACAGAGAAAAGTGTCATGTATTTTACATGCAACGATAGCCTAATCTAAAATGCTCTACTCTGGCGTACCTTTCGTGTGGTGTGTGGCTCGTCAGCGCAGACTCTCGCATCGTTATTGTTGCACAATTTGCAGGAGGCTACTCTTGGGCTTCGCTTGACCCTCGTCTTAGCCATGGCTTGTATTTGTCTTCTGCTAGCCAACGCTCGTTGAAACGGCAACCTCCTGGCATACTGTCATCTATCACTCTCATCAGAATGCCCAGGTCACACACGTAACAAAAACACTTGCCGGTCACGCGCATTGCGTGGGAAGGCCGGAGCGGAGCTGTTTTATGTAAAAGCGAAGCAATTAAGCGCGCTCCGACTTCTTTATTTTCTTTTAATCTAAAAAGCGAAGTAAAGCATTTACAATTTCAAGCACTTTATCCCAAATTCAAGCACCATTCCCAAAATTCAAGCACTTTTCAAACCTTGAAAACACCTCGTACAATTTCAAGCATTTTCAAGGATTTCCAGCACCCGTACGCACCCTGTATATATTTAGTGTCAGTTTATTTTTGTAATTATGTTTTATACTGTATTTATATACTGTATTTAACTCATGTGTAATGCCTTGTAAGTATGCTACTATAACAAAAACTATTTCCCAATAAAGAATATCTAATCGAGTCCTATTTAATAATGTACACATCCCAAATGACAAATGATACAAGGAATAGCAATAATATTCACTATAAGCCTACTGCATCAACATTTGTTATTTTCCCAGAGATATTGCTGTTGTTTTGAAAAAGATAGAAATGTGCAGTGAAGTTTTACGTAATATAATATTATTTGAGTTGTACGCCTGTATGTTCAAAGGTTATCTGTATGTCTACAGATAGAGGAGAGTGACTGAAATACATTGACAGGTGTAGGTTCCATCTATAATATGCTGAAAGTGTAAAATGAAAATTGTCTTTATCTTATTTCTATCAAGGAAAGCTGTTTCGCGATGTTTTGAAAAAAAATGTTTTATTAATGTTTTATTTTTCCCAAATCAAGTCAAATAATATGAAGAAATGGCCAGTTTAGGGTAGTTAGTTACTATGTTATATGATAAACTGGTTATATTATCATGATATTGTATTTACACATTAGGAAATACGTTTTCAGATAAGTAAATTAACCCAAAACTGTTAGTCTCTTCCCATCTATAGTGAAATATTGCTGTATCCTTACTGCTGATACATGGCTTCAGGACTCGAAAACATTCCTTTTTATCAGATCTGATGTAACACACTGCCAATATACAGTAAGGTCAATTGAATCTGTAAATGGAGAGGACTAAAGGCTACTGACCCTGCATGAACATCATCCCCACTAGCAACTCAAAGCCCTTTAACCTGTTAAGCCCTAGAGCCCCCTGTACAGGGGGCAGTGGGGTGTTTTTTCACGAAACTGTGTCTCAGGGCTTCTTAATATTTAAAAACCTATTAATGTGTCATACCCATTTAACGGGAAGAAACTCAGCTAACTGACAATACGAACCATTTTTACCGAAACAAAACACAAGTCTCACAAGAAGCGTCTAAATGAGCCCTGAGCGAAAAAATGCTAACACACTTACCACAGAACTCAAGGTAAAAATACCCTTATTACTTATCGTAACTGCGAAAACAAGATATCAATATCAATATCAATTAAAGCTGCAAGCAGCGTTGAGCGGGTCTTCGACGCTCCGCAGGCTGTTGTCCGCACGTCGACGTGTCACGCAGGAGTTTTCTGGACTCGGCCGTTGGCAAACATGGGAAGTTTCAGGCCGATCGGACAACGTACATGGGAGTTACAGCAGTATCATAAACATTGTGTTTGATGGCGAGTGATCTATCGCCATGGCAACAGCATTTGATGACACCCCATAATACGCTTAGATGTGTTGAGGGTTGCATCGTTATCAAACCTGTGAAGTTTTGTGCCGTTTGGCGCATGTTAACTGGCATTATGAGAAAACCGTGTTTCACGGCGACCATTTTGTTAGCATAGCAACGACATTTGACGAAATCTAAAAACTGACACATATACGTCTCGAGGGCTTGACGGTTAGCACATATGTGAAATTTGAACACTTTTTTACCATTTACACAGGAGTTAAAGCAATATGGTGCTTAACGGCGAGGGATGCGTTGCCATGGCAACAGCTTTTGAGGAAAACTCACTATTGTCATATTGAGGTGTTGAGGGCCGGACCATTAACTGTCATCTGATGTCTGGTGCAGTTTGGACCATTTTCCATTGAGTTAAGACAACACCGTGTTTCATGGCGAGGGATCTGTCGCCATGGCAACGGCATACGGTGAAATCTCAGATTTCACGTAGAGCTGTTGAGGCATGGAGCGGTGATATAAAAGTGAAGATTGGGGGACGATGGGACCGTGTCCATTGGAGTTACAGCGACACCGTGTTTTATTGCGAGGGATGCGTTGCCATGGAAACGGCATATGATAACATCCCAGAATTAGCGTAGAGCTGTTGAGGGCCGGACCATTAACTGTCATCTGAAGTCTGGTGCAGTTTGGAACCTTTTCCATTGATTTAAGACAACATTGTGTTTTATGGCGAGGGATGCGTTGCCATGGAAACGGCATATGATGACATCCCATAATTGGCGTAGAGCTGTTGAGGGCCGGACCATTAGCCATCATCTGAAGTGTGGTGCCGTTTGGAACCTTTTCCATTGACATAAGACAACATTGTGTTTTATGGCGAGGGATGCGTTGCCATGGAAACGGCATACGGTGAGATCTCAGATTTCACGTAGAGCTGTTGAGGCATGGACCGGTGATATAAAAGTGAAGATTGGGGGACGATGGGACCGTGTCCATTGGAGTTACAGCGACACCGTGTTTTATGGCGAGGGATGCGTTGCCATGGTAACGCCATATTAAGTAACATCAAATTTGACGTAGAGCTGTTCAGGGCCGCAGTGTTAACCATCATGTGAAGTTTGGTGGCGTTCTGAGTATGTCAGTTGGTGTTATGACATCATCGTGTTCCATGGCGAGGGATCGCCTAGCATCAAGCGAACGCGAACTTTGGCGCCAAATCACGGCTACGCCGTGCGAAAGAAAAAAACTTCCGTGATAACTTTGAATTGCCCATGTCTCGAGACGCTACCCGACGAATTTCGAGTCGTACGGATAAAGTCCCTGGGAGAAGATAGATTTTGTGCGGGGGACGCCAAATTCAAAATGGCCGACTTCCTGTACGTTATTTTATACCCCTCCAAGAAGCTTTTTTGTTCGTCTCCGCACCCTAGATATGCGTAACGAGTTTCGTTCGTTTACGTGAAAGTTAAAGTGGGGGGAGTTTACGTTAAAAACGGAAGTGGGCGTGGCCTACGCAATTTTTTACGCAAAGTTCCGGAACCAATTACATATCGCAAGTTGCACCACTTCTGACGCGCGTGCAAAATTTGGTGAGTTTTCACATATGTTGCGGGGGTCAAAGGTTTATCGGTCGCTGCGCGACCGATTTCAATAGGGTCTTCGCCGACCTAGGTCTCAGACCCTAATTAAAGCTGAGATTCCACAGATTCTATAGGTATAAGTATCATCACTGAGCGATCAGAACTCGTGACAGGGGAAGCAAACACAGACGTCACAACACGTGAATTACGGAACATTCACGGGAAATCGTCTCAAATTAGCTGTTATTCTGATCAATAGTCGTGTTCAATGGCATTAAAATGATAAAAACGCCGCTGAAGGTTAATCCATAGGTTAATCCAATGTGTCTGTGTCACTTTGAAAGGATTACTGATAATCCATCATTGCATTTTTATGTAAAAAACGGAGATTTCATATTATTTTTATTTTTATAAATCTCTCTAAAAAGGTCAAATGTCACTTGTTTTGCATCAATCTTGATACAGGGTACTTATTATATGTTGTAGTTTGGATTCCTAAAGCTTTTAGTCTACCTTACCATCATCAAAGGGTGGATTTCACTATAAGTAATGGGTTTTTTGTAGGCGGAGGTAAGAATTTACCTTTTTTTACAATGTTCCATCTGAATTTACTCTGACACAGAAACATCTATATTGATTCTGACACTTCTACATCCAACTCACAGATGTAACCTTGCTTTGAGAAAAAAGATTATTAATTTAACCCTTTTAGAAGTGAACTTATAGTCATTTGTTCTGGGCATGTCATTTTCGAGCCTGAAACCTGAAAAACAGGCTCAGGGCTTATTAATTGTATCATGATCCACACAAACTGGAGTATATCCAATGTCTAGGTGCTCATTTAAAATAGAATTGGAAACTGTAATATATATTACGTGTGAGATCTTGGACAAACCACTTATACTCTACACACTTTGAAAACAGTCTGTTTATATATATATATAAGTGATGGTTTATAGAGTGGCCTTGATAAAAATCAGAGAGCATTTCCCTAGGCAGAAGCACTGTTCTGGTTTGTTCTATGTGCGGCTGTAAACCATGTAAAAAAATAATGCACACACAAATAAATGCACAGTCACTCACCAGTATGGTTATAGACCACATCTGTAATACACAGCATGTTCCATTCATTCTTCAGCTTCTCCAGCAGCGCCCCCACATCCTCCCAGCTGTAGCCCTGCCCAGCGGGGCTGAACTCTGGGTTCAGACTCAGCTGGTCTGCCAGGGAGTAACAGGACCGGGACTCTCCCAGAGTCTGCAGAGGAGTGAAGTGGATCATGTTGTACCCTGAGAGAGAAACCCACATATTATTAATACTCCCAACAATATGTATTATGTGTCTCCTGTTTGCTATGAAGGCTTGACTGCATAAACACTATGGCTAATTCTAATGCAACCACTAAACCCTCCCCCTCCCCCCTTCTACTTTGTTTGTGTGTTCCCGTGTTGGGTCCGCCACACTAGTGGGAAGTGATTAAACCCTTCAACATGAAGTTATTAAACCATCCAATAGCAAGTCTGCATCGGTCCTTATTAACCTGCTGCCCTACCTGACCGGACCCAACGCTGTTTGAGTCCCCCATGGAACACGCTGTGTACAAATAGTTCTGTGCAAACAATTAATAGTAAACTGTGCCAAAATAAGAGACATTTAATTTTGTCATGTTGATGTTAACAACTTCAAGGTTTTTAAATTATTTTACTATGGATCATATACCTTTGTCTAGTCTAGAAAACTGTAAAAATGTGCATTTGATTGTAAAGTGTTGTATATTTACAGGAACTATAAACCAAGAAACTCGTAAAAATCAGATTTAAAAACAAAAAGAGTTACAAAAAAGAAAAGCCATTTAAGATTTTTGGAGTTTTATTTAAGTTATTATTTATATATTTAGTCCAAGAGATGCTGATTCTAAACCATAGTTAGGAAAAGTTACAACAGTTCCTGTTTCTGCCGGAGGCAGGGCGGGTTTGTGCCAAACTTGCCACTGTGTTTGCACCCTCCACCTGAAAGAAGGAGCCTCATTCATTCATTCATTCAGTCTGCATGGGTCTTGATTAACCAGCTGCCCTACCTGACCATGTGTCCCTCATTGAACACGATGTGTACTTACAAAATGTGCAAAAAAGATTCCATGGTATTTTTATACTTGCACCCATGTCCAGCCTAGGAAATATGATATATTACTAGAAAATATTTCTAACATGCTATGATCATTTTAATAATATTATAAAATCCCCAAGCTCACCGCTGTACACACACCCTCCACCTTAAAGAAGGCGCCTCATTCAGCTGAGTGAGACTGCACAGACTTCAGTCACAGAGTGGGAGTGGGTAGGGGTCGGTTTAGAATTGGGTCTTCGTCTCTTGTAGACACACAACGATAGTTACGTATGTAACTACGGTTCTATGAATACTGGATGACCGCCAGAGGCGGTGCTTTAGCACTGGATATCTTCTGTCTCGCGCATGCGTAGGTCGAATATTTATATCAAAAAAGTCACGTGTGACCTCGTATGACCCCGGAAGGTATAAGTTCCGGTGTTGTCAACGAGTTCAGTTCTATGGAATCTTCTCGCGGAAACACGAGATTCCGAGTGACCAAGAACTCTGGCGGTCATCCAGTATTCATAGAACCGTAGTTACATACGTAACTATCGTTCTATTTCATACTTACTGACCGCCAAAGGCGGTGCTTTAGCACTGGATGACCTATACCAACAGAGTCACGAGGAAGTCTGAATACTCCCCCTATAAGGATGGCCTAGGCGGACTCTGCAGGAGGACCACACCCAGCGGGTGAGGGGCGGCAACATTCACCCTGTAGTATCTGGCGAATGTGCTCAGAGATGCCCATGTGGCCGCAGCCCATATGTCCTCCAGGGGCACACCTCTCAAGGTCGCCCATGACGTGGAGACACTCCTGGTAGAGTGGCACTTTACTCTGGGTGGCAAGGGACGGTCATTCGCCTTGTATGCCTGGGCAATGACGTCCATGATCCAGTGGGACAAGCGCTGTTTTGAGAGCGCACAGCCCCTTCTAGGACCACCGTAACACAGAAAGAGCTGTTCAGACCGACGCATGCCTGCGGTAGGCTGGACCTGAGCTCTAAGGGCCCGCACCGGGCATAGGAGTCTTGACCTCTCTTCCCCCTCTCCTGATGGGGGGTCAACCCGTGCCAGCTGGATAGGCCGATTAAAATGAGAGCGTGCCAGCACCTTAGGGAGGAACGCTGTGTTCGGCCATAAGGTGACACCTGAGCCATCTGAGTTCCACCTCAGACACGAGCTGTTCACGGACAAGGCCTGAAGCTCGCTTACACGCTTTGCTGAGGTGATGGCAAGAGGGAAAGCAGTCTTAGCTGAGAGCCACTTCAGTTCTGCCTGTAACAAAGGTTCAACAGGAGGCAAGCATAGGGCATCCAGCACCAAGGGCAGGTCCCATGTAGGGGCCCTTGGGATATTCGGGGGGCGAAGCCTCAGAGCTCCCCTTTAAAAAGAGGCATACGAGCCTATGGCTCCCCACTGTGCTGTTGTCAGCCCTTGCGTGTTGAGCTGATATAGCAGCCACATACACCCTGACGGTAGCGGGACACCGGCCGTCGTCCAGGAGGGACTGAAGGAACTCAAGGGTCGTAGGTACCGAGCAATATGCTGGGTCCTCATTTCGCCCTTGGCACCAGTCAGAAAACAGTTTCCACCTGTTTTCGTACTGCCTACGAGTAGATGGTGCCCTAGCATTTGAGAATAGTCTTCCTGACAGACTCTATGCAGTCGCTCAGCAGTGGGTCGGGCCCTCCAGTGGCCAGACCCACAGCTGGAGGTGGCAGGGGTCGGGGTGCCACATCCAAGGTTCAAGGTTCAAGGTTCTTTATTGTCAATCTGACATAGCTACAGAGTAATTATGCAGTTGAAAATCTTATGTCACAGGCTTCTCCAACAATGCAACATAATAACATAACATAATAACAATAAGAGCAAGAGCAATACAAAAATAATAATAGTTATACCCTCCAACTGAGACAAGAGGTCCTTCCTGTTGGGGAGACGCCAAGGCGTCCCACAGCAGAGTCTGTGCAGCAGATGGACAGGCCCTCACCTAGCTGGGTTAAACAAGGAAGTTTAACAGGACAGCCTAGCCAGGCGGCTCCTGCTAGAATCAAGCAACACGCCTACCAGGAGCGGGGGCGAGAACACTGCCTTCACTGGTTGAGTTGATAACGAATTCCAGATGCAGCGTAACCGGGAGCGGGTGCAAGAACACAGCCTCCACTAGCTACCTGCTGAACGTAACGAGTAGAGCAATGCTCCTACTCGCCGAACACAGAGAGGGATGTAAATGTCCTACACCCACGTTACCAGCAGAGAGAGCGGGAGCGAGAGCACTGTCTTCACCTAGGTGGATTAGATAAGGAAATTTAACAGGGCAGTTTAGCCAGGCAGCTGCTGCTAGAATGAAGCAGCGCGTCTACCAGGAGCGGGGGCGAGAACACCGCCCTCACTGGTTGAGTTAATAACGAATGCCAGATGCAGCGTAGGCGGGAGCGGGGTGCGACAACACAGCCTTCACCAGCTACCTGCTGAACGGAAAGAGTAGAGCAACGTTCCTACTCGCCGAACACAAAAGGGATGTAACTACACCCATGTTACCAGCAGAGGGAGCGGGAGCGAGAGCACTGCCTTCACCTAGCTGGAAAAAACAAGAAGTTTTAGCAGGACGGCTTATCCAGTCGGCTGCTGCTAGAATAAAGCATCACGTCTACCAGGAGTGGGGGCGAGAACACTGCTTTCGCTGGTTGAGTGACTGTGTCCAGAGTAGGGATGGGTACCGAGCCCCGGTATTAAACGGGCCCCGGGGCTGAATTATTAAAGACCGTGGTACCGTTAATCTCCGACGTTATCGGTCTTTTTATCGGTACTGGAGACATCTAAAAAATATGTCATGTGTATTATTGCTACACAAACATTATATTGCAGTTTTAGTGTCGCCAACTCCGTTTCTAATACGCAAAAAGACTGCAAAATGCGTCATTTTTAGTATTTTCGATCTCTCCAATCCAGACGAGAGATCTCTCTCCCCCGTCTGTGTGCGAGGGGGCGGGGCAGTTTACACACACGCAGCTGCATGCAGCAACACACACACACACGGAGGAGATGGCGGAGAGAACGCGCTCCGAGGTGTGGTTCAACTTTACCCGTCTCGCTCGTTGCCTAAAGTGCAATAAGAGTTTAGCATGTCAGGGCGGTAACACGAGCAATTTGTCTAAACATTTAGCAAAAGTGCTCCACATTCAGACGGAGGAATGCACCGGGTTCGACTGTCTCTCTCGTAGCTCTGTAGCCCCATCCACGAGTAACGTTTCCACGTCAGGTATATTATGTATGCTAGCAGCAACACACGGAGCTAACTCAATGATACAAAAACATGGGTTGATGAATAGAGGTAACTGAGTTATTTAGTTTGTTAAAGTTTCAGCCATTCTGTTCACAGTTCTGTCATCACATTATTTAATACCATTTGTTAAAACGTTGTTGTTTCTTTTGATGTGAAATATTATGTATTTAATTTAAATAAAAAGCAATGTTAGTTTTGTTCACAATTTTTTTTTTTCATTTGTCATTTAATAGTTTATTTGAATAGGGACAATGCACATTAATGAACACTTTAGACAAATAATGCTTCAAGTGTAAATATGCCGGATTTTAGCTTTGAGCTAATTTCCATTCGTAGTCCCTGACATACAACATATAGTTCGTTTACCTCATTTTTTTCTCCAAAAGAACCGATAAGAGTACCGTTAAAAGACCGGACCGATAAGCGGTATCGATAAAAGTAGTAGTACCGTTAAAACCTTAACGATACCCATCCCTAGTCCAGAGCCACCCCAATGAAGGTTAGGCTCTGAGAGGGGTTCAGACAACTCCTCTCCATGTTCACCCTGAGGCCTAGCCGGGCGACATGAGAGAGAAGGAGAGCCGTGTCCTGGATCGTCTGTAACCGGGATGGTGCACAGATTAACCAGTCGTCTAAGGAGAGGGAGAGTCCGAATGGGAGCACCCTGAACTGGAAATGACGACCTCTGAAGGCAAAGCGAAGAAACTGCCTGTGATGAGGCACAATAGGCACATGAAAATAAGCGTCCTTCAAGTCGACGGACGTGAACCATTCCCCCCTGGCCACGGTACGAAGAACGTCCGCTGTGCTCAGCACATGGAAAGGTAAAATCTTTAGGAACTTGTTGAGTCCCCTCAGATCGAGGATTGGGCGAAGTCCACCGCCTTTCTTCCTTACCAGGAAGTAGGTCGAGTAGAAGCCCGGGCTGTGAGATGGGGTCCACAGGCTCGATTGCACCCTTGGCAAGGAGGACTGACAGCTCCTGGTTTAGGGCGATTTATTTTGCCGGGTCGCTTATGGTGGTCATTTTGACCCGGCTGAAGACTGGGGCCAGCGTCGGAACTGAAGCTTGTACCCTTGGTTTAAGGAAGCGCTAAGAGCATCCTGCTGCAGGGAAGCTGAGAGGGCGAGCATGAGGTGCCTACACGGCCCATGCGCGCCGCTGCATCGTAAGCCTTAGTGAGCAGGTCATTAGTGACCCGACATTGGAGTCGAGGGCACCTGGCCTCCGACCTCAGAGCTTCGTCAGGGGAAACTATGAGGGAAGCAATGGTAGGCTCAACAGCCGGCGTGTGGTCAAGGCCAACTCTTGCAGCATCCTGCATGGCTACCAAGGCTCGGCCATCGGACGTAAGACTGTAAAGAGCCTTAGTGTCCCTCCAGCATGCATGTAACTCCCTCAGATACTCACAAGAGGGAGGAACAGTGCGGGTGGCGGGTGCCGGAGTGCGCCTAAAGAACGCACTGGCAGGCGCTGTTTCGGGCTGCTGCGCATCCAGCTACTGGTGAGCCAGTGCCATGCGAATGACGGTACCCATGGAGCCGTCATCTGCCTCCTCCGAGGGACCATGAGCTGAGGTACAGGAGCCAGGCCCAGAAGCATGGGATGGGCTCTCCCCGTCATACTCATTAAATTGAGTGGCTAAAGCTGCCATCGAGAACACATCGTCCTCTAGAACCAGCTCAGCCACGGGTGGATCGGGTGCAGCGGCGTGCTCTGTACGGCCACCAGAATGGAGAGCCAAGAGGAGTGACCTCATCTGGGCTAGCTCAGTAGTGAGTAGGTCCACCCTGGAGGACAGCCTATCAGGCTTAGTCCTCTCCTTGGGCGGTGCACCCGCAGCCTCTGCGGCCCAACGCCTAGGATGGGTAGGTTGGGCTGGAGTCGACTGTGCAGGGGGAAGGCCACCCTCAGTCAGTAGTTCAACCTCGGCTAGTCTAGCAGCTCTTACCGCCCGAGGCATGATGGTGCAATTCATGCACGGGTCCTCCGAAAGGCCCTCCCTCAGATGCTCGAGGCCAAGACAAGAGGGGCAAAGGTCATGGCCATCCTCTGGTTGAAGAGGAGCCATACAGGTGTTAGAGCCGTTAGACGTAGCGATAGCTAGAGCACTCAGCTGAGTGTAAATAACTGGGCCAGGAAACAAATATGCAGTGGAGGGGAGTGAGCACAATAGTAGTTAGCTTGAGCGTGAGCACTCTGCTAACTGGGGTGAGAAAAAATGAAGTCAGTTAATGGGTTTATGCCGTGAGAGGAGAGCGGAATACTCTCTCCACTAGCGCCGTAGCGAGTTAGCCTAAGCGAGAGCACTCTGCTAACTGAAGGATGGAACGGGCATTAAACCAACTGTGTGCAGGGAGAGGGGAGCGGATTCACTCTCTTCACTAGCGCTGTAGCAAGTTAACTTTGAGCGAGAGCACTCAGTTAACTGGAGGATGGAACAGGAACCAACTGTGTGCAGTGAAAAGGGGAGCGAAGACACTCTTCACTAGTACTGTAGCAAGTTAGCTTTGAGCGAGAGCACTCAGCTAACTGGAGGATAGAACAGGAACTAATTGTGAGCTGTGAGAGGGGAGTGAAGACACTCTCTTCACTAGCGCTGTAGCAAGTTAACTTTGAGCGAGAGCACTCAGTTAACTGGAGGATGGAACATTTTATATGTCGTTGCCACTCTTTGCATATCATGTATTTTGTTTTTTTACCATGTTTGTAAAAAGTGATTTCCTTAAATGTTTTATGTGAGGGAATGGAAAATAGCTCAAAGCTAAATCTGGCACTGTTACGCTTGACACATTTAAATGTTTTAAGTGTTCATTACAGTGCATTGTCCCTGTCAAATAAACGATTAAATAAAATAACCAATTGTGCGCCGTGAGAGGGGAGCGAAGACACTCTCCTCACTAGCACTGTAGCAAGTTAGCTTTGAGCGAGAGCACTCAGCTAACTGGAGGATAGAACAGGAACTAATTGTGAGCTGTGAGAGGGGAGCGAAGACACTCTCTTCACTAGCGCCGTAACAGTTAGCTTGAACGAAAACACTCAGCTTAACTGGACGATAGAACAGGTAAGGAAACAATGTATGCGGTGGGGGGGGGGCGGAGACGCTCCCTTCACTAGCGCCGTAACAGTTAGCTTGAATGAAACCACTCAGCTTAACTGGACGATAGAACAGGTAAGGAAACAATGTATGCGGTGGGGGGGGGGCGGAGACGCTCCCTTCACTAGCGCCGTAACAGTTAGCTTGAACGAAAACACTCAGCTTAACTGGACGATAGAACAGGTAAGGAAACAAATGTATGTAGTGAGAGGGGGGGGCGGAGACGCTCCCTTCACTAGCGCCGTAACAGTTAGCTTGAACGAAAACACTCAGCTGACTGGACGATATAACAGGTAAGGAAACAATGTATGCGGTGAGAGGGGGGCGGAGACGCTCCCTTCACTAGCGCCGTAACAGTTAGCTTGAACGAAAACACTCAGCTTAACTGGACGATAGAACAGGCAAGGAACCAAATGTGTGCAGTGAAAGGGGGGCGGAGACGCTCCCTTCACTAGCGCAGTAACAAATTAGCGAGAGCCCTCGGCTAACTTGTACACAATTATCTCAGTAGCTTGAGAATAGATAGCACAATCAGCGGTAAATGGTAGCGATCTCATCGGCTGACGTGCAGGAGCGTCCGATCTTTACCGGTCCGGAGCTCCTGGGGTCCGAGCGGTGAACACCGCGGTCCCCTCCCTTGGGAGGGCGGACAGCTCGTCGCAGCCTTTCGAGGGCGAGCGTTTCTAGCCCGCAGCTCCGATCGAGACGATCGCAAGGCTACAGGCGATGAGCTAGAATTTTCAATAAGCTAGCTTGGCTTCTACTCATAAAGTAGTAACCTGCGCAGCGAGAAGATGAAAAAGAACTGAACTCGTTGACAACACCGGAACTTATACCTTCCGGGGTCATACGAGGTCACACGTGACTTTGTTGATATAAATATTCGACCTACGCATGCGCGAGACAGAAGATATCCAGTGCTAAAGCACCGCCTCTGGCGGTCAGTAAGTATGAAATAGAACACATCTGACCTCAGATATTTGAGTTCAGGATTGGCACTAAAATAACAAGCTGTTCATAGAGACTGGCCAACAATATGATCCTGTGACCTCTCAGTTCAGCAAGAGGCTCACAGACAATCTTAAGCAGCTTAGTTACCCATTCCCAAACATTTTTTAAATGTAGACACACACCGGACTCCTTGGCTACTCTCAGTCTGTCCGCCCAGTCGTCTAAATGTCCCAGACATTTGGACAGGTAGGTCTGGATGGTGATGCAGTCCAAAGGGAGGACGTGATCGTCTGCTCCAACATGAAGGACCGGGTCCACCACGATGTATCCTCCTCCAGACCGCTCTGTGGCTCTGTGGGAAAAGAAATGTAAATAAACACACTATCTAGTCAAATAGTGGAAAAAGAAGAGATGGAGTAACACTTGTAACTACCACTTAACAAGAATACTTTCTAGTGCCATACAGACACAGAGCAGAAAAGAATGACACAAATGTATTTATTGTCATTCTACCACAGAGGGTTAGCACAACGGAATGAAAAGCTATATAGCTATAGTCCCTTTATACTAAAGAGAAAAAAACTAAATCATGTTTTGTGGTAGTTAACGAGGGTCACAGGAAAAAAAGAGGCTGCTCTGTAGACTGGAGGTATAACAGCAGAGACGTCTGTATCTCCTGCCAGACAGCAATTACTTTCAAGTCATTTCAACTTGGGTTGGGAACAAGGGAACTACAATTTCCAAAGTGAAGGATTAACTAATGCTTAGCTTTTCAAATCAAATGAGAAGTCCAAAAGTGCTTTTGATTCGATCAGAACAACTACTGCATACTCCTTATCTGGAAACCAATGTCGTGAAAAAGCTAATAAGTGGATGCTGAACTGGGATAGTTTTTGAAAAGTGTTATTTCGTAGGTCGAGATATTCTGCTAGTATCATGTTAGGTGTTATGTTATGTTGTTGTCATATTGTTGTACACTATGATACATCACTGTCAACAGCCCTACTTTCAGCACAGAGCTTCGACAAAAATTCAAGAAGCTAAAACATCAACTGCCTAAAGCCTGCATTTCTTCAGTTTTCATCAATACAATACAATAATATTGCACAACTGTACGGGTCTTACCCATATCCAAAGTAGTACTGATAGGACCCAGCAATCTTGAGGTCCAGAGAGCAGAACTTATCAGAGTCATCCTCCCTCCCTGTTGGGTAGCTCCACGCCAAAACACGGAAGAGGTTTCGTTTAAACTGCTGTCCTTCAAGAGGATAGTTGGTGTGCACCATCACCCTCTTCCCCTGAAGGCTGGGACCCAAGCGGAACTGGAGCTCGAACCCTGAGGACACAGAACATTCTGGGATTTATTGCTTTATTTCAGCACATGGTATTCATGAAAGACCAATCTCAGGACCCATTGGCTATCAGTCTGAGGATGATTAAGAGGGAAAAGCCAGGGGATTTTGGGATGCCGGATATCTGGGCCCAGACTCTATCTTCTTTGTGCTTCTTATTGTTTACAGCCTGATTTGTCATTTCAAGATTCAAGAGCAGAGGGGGGAGCCCGACTATACGAAACGGAAACTGCATTCATATCACTTTTTTTGGGCTGGCTCCGGCCTATATAGCTGAACTCCTCCAGCGCTACACCCCAGCCAGAGCTTTAAGGTCTGCTGACCAGCTGCTGCTGGTAGTGCCCAAGACCAGGCTTAAAACCCGAGGGCACAGAGCCTTCGCAGCAGCTGGCCCTAGGCTCTGGAACACTCTGCCCCTCCATGTGAGGTCGGCCCAGACCCTAGGGGTTTTTAAATCTACTCTTAAGACACACTTCTTCTCCCTGGCCTTCTAGTCAGAGCGGAGCACGACTCCTGACTTTTCCCTGTGTTTTTTATATATCTGTTGTAATTTATTGTCTTTTATTGTGATTGTAGTAATGTGTTTTTATTACATGTACAGCACTTTGGCTCGACCAAAAATCGCTTTTAAATGTGCTTTATAAATAAAACTTGATTTGATTTGATTTGATTTTTTGGAGATCAATGGGGCCATATGCTGCTCATTTTCAGCTTCATATTAGTGTTTCCACTCTGACATGTCTCCATGCTTTAATGTTCAAAAAGCTCTTTATTGTTCTCATACTGCCTGTGCTGCAGCACCTCTTTTCCCCCTCTGTCTGAAACCAGAGCCCAGTCTGCTCTGATTGGTTAGCTGGCTCTGTTGTGATTGGTCAAACGCTTAAAGTTTTTTCCTTATTTCCTTTTGATGTGTTTATTTTTGCACCACCATACACCAAAGCAAATTCCTTGGATGTGTAAACGTACTGTACCGGGCAAAAAAATGTATTCTGATTCAGACCATTTACATGCACAAAAACCTATATAGCACACTACAGGAAAGGGAACACCTGAAAAAGCACAATAGGGCCCCTTTAATAAAAGACAAACTCTTATGTTTAATTGCTTATGGCTGTGCCAATAATGTTTATGTGGATTCTATAGAATAAAAAAAAAGACTTCTCTAGTCTCAACATCAGTAATGTAACATGCAAGACAATCCCTCCTTCAAACTCACACACAGATCTCTGCTGCTCTGTTCATTAACTATAATGTGGTAACTAAAAGTTGTTACTGACTTCTATGTTACTAGGGGCATGTGTCACATTCAAATCCTGCTCTAAAGACACACTGAAATACAAAAATAAACCACTTTACAAGTTCTTATACTAAATCCCTGCAATATCCTTTGTAAAGGTCAATTTTTTCTCATTTCTATTTATTTTTCTTGGCTCTTTCATGTTGTTTTTTTTCACTCAACCAAAGAATATTCTACTTGCATTCCTTCCTGATAAAAGTCCAATACCAATTCCCTGCACACTTGCTGGGGGCCATTGAACTTCTAGATCCTTACAGTGCATAACCTGAACTCACCTTAAATCCACCACCAATATGTGTTTATGTATAGAGGAACAGACAATAAACATAGATCTAGGTAAATGAGTTGCTTGAGAAACAAATGTTGTTTGGAAGCAGCATTACCTTGTTCCAGTCTGAACAGGGTCCTCTCTAAATTCTCCTTTTCGTTGAACATTAGGACTCGAATCTGCTTCAGGTGTTGAGGCAACATCTTCAGAAGATCTCCCAAGTTAAACAAACCCTGGCCACCTGTAAGAGAGGAAAACAAAGGTTACTGTAGTTATAAACATTCACTTCCATTAAGCACTTTTTCAGATCTCAGATGCTGAGATATTTGTTCCCCTGGTTTTCAGTGGGTTTTCACACATTCATTCAAAAAAGTGTAGTTTTTTCTGGTGCCTGTAACTCTAGTACAATATTTTGTTATGGTTAAAACAAGTTGGGGTTAAATGCTCATTTAAAATAACCTATTCATTTTTGAAGTTCTGTTAGGGCTGTTGTGCAATAGTTTCAGACAAGACAGACAAAGACAATAAAGACTTATCTCTGATATTAAATATGTCAGAGATTAAATAAAATATGTCAGTAATTAAATACGCTGAATGGTTGTGGACTCCCACACAAATGTACTTTTCTTCTGAAATGCATTTATATAGATCAAAATTATGATGATTACGGCTTACAGCTAATGAAAACCCCAAAATCAGTATCTCAGAAAATTAGAATATTACATAAGACCAATAAAAAAGAAAAAGGATTTTTAATACAGAAATGTCGGCCTTATGAAAAGTATGTTCATGTGTGTGCACTCAGTACTTGGTTGGGTCTCCTTTTGCATGAATGACTGCATCAATGCGGCGTGGCATGGAGGCGATCAGCCTGTGGCTCTGCTGAGGTGTGATTGAAGCCCAGGTTGCTTTGATAAGCGGCCTTCAGCTCGTCTGCATTGTTGGGTCTCGTGTCTCTCATCTTCCTCTTAACAATACCCCATAGATTCTCTATAGGGTTCAGGTCAAAGTTTGTTGGCCAATCAAGCGCAGTAATTCCATGGTCACTAAACCAGGTCTTAGTACTTTTGGCAGTGTGGGCAGGTGCCAAGTCCTGCTGGAAAATGAAATCAGCATATCCATAAAGCTTGTCAGAAGAAGGAAGCATGAAGTGCTCTGAAATGTCCTGGTAGACGGCTGCGTTAACTTTGGACTTGAGAAAACACAGAGGACCAACAGCAGCAGATAACATGGCTCCCCAAATCATCACTGACTGTGGAAACTTCACACTGGACTTCAAGCAACTTGGATTGTGTGCCTCTCCACTCTTCCTCTAGACTCTGGGACCTTGATTTCCAAATGAAATGCAAAATATACTTTCATCTGAAAAGAGGACTTTGGACCACTGAGCAATAGACCATCTCTTTTTCTCCTTAGCCCAGGTAAGACGCTTCTGACGTTGCCTCTGGTTCAGGAGTGGCTTGACACGAGGAATGCGACAGTTGTAGCCCATGTCCTGGATACGTCTGTGCGTGGTGGCTCTTGAGGCACTGACTCCAGCCTCAGTCCACTCCTTGTGAAGCTCCCCCAAATGTTTGAATGGCCTTTGCTTGACAATCCACTCAGGTCTGCGGTCATCGCTGTTGCTTGTGCACCTTTTCCTACCACACTTTTTCCTTCCACTCAACTTTCTATGAATATGCTTGGATACAGCACACTGTGAACAGCCAGCTTCTTTAGCAATGACCTTTTGAGGCTTACCCTCCTTGTGGAGGGTGTCAATGACTGTCTTCTGGACAACTGTCAAGTCAGCAGTCTTCCCCATGATTGTGAAGCCTACTGAACCAGATTGAGAGAACATTTAAAGGCTCAGGAAACCTTCACAGGTGTTTTGAGTTCATTAGCTGATTAGAGTGTGACACCGTGAGTCTACAATATTGAACTTTTTCACAAGATTCTAATTTTCTGAGATACTGATTTTGGGGTTTTCATTAGCTGTAAGCCGTAATCATCAAGATTAAAACAAATAAAGCCTTGAAATATTTCACTTTGTGTGTAATGAATCCATATAATATATGAGTTTCACTTTTTGAATTGAATTAATTAAATCAATTAACTTTTCCACGATATTCTAATTTATCTCAGATTCTAGAAGTATTAATGATATAATAATAATAATAATTATAATAATAATAATAATAATAATAATGCATTTTATTTATGGGCGCCTTTCAAATGTTCAGGGGGTCTTCTTCGCTGCTTTTGGTGTATTTTGTGGCCAAAGTACAGCGCCACTTACAGGCCCGGCATATATACTACAGCGTCTCCAGCGGGTCGAGCGGTCTCATGTGGACGGACACGTTTATTGAGCCGATTCCGTGTGGACGGAAGACTTTTTTTATATCGACCTCGGTTCGTTTTCGTCTCCGTGTGGCCGGGGCCTTAATCGCTTTGTGGTCAAGCTGCTGCGGTTGTATTTACCAAAAGGTGGAACCAAAACACACAGCTGCAAACTTACTCAGGGTGTTAATGGAAGAGTTTGAAATCAGACAGAGGTGGAAGAATTACTCAGATCTTGTGTAGGAATACTCTGTTACAAGTTAAATGTTACTCAAGTCAAATTAGAAAAGTATTAGTTATAGTTAAAGTACCAAAGGTAGTCATTGTGCAGATTGGTCCATTTCAGAATAATAGATATATGTTTTATAATGATTGATCATGAAAGTGTTCTCAAAGCTGGTAAAGGTGCAGTTAGTTTGAATGACTTTGTATTATGCAGGGTAGCTTGTGAATTTACTCAAGGTGGAACTAAAGTCTGATTTAACACTTGATTATATTTCACATCATTCATCCACATCTGTAAAGTAACTAAAGGGATTAAATACATGTAGTGGAGTCAAAGTACACCATTTACCTCTGAACTGTAGTGGAGTAGAAGTACAATGTAGCATAAAGTAGAAATACTCAAGTAAAGTACAAGTATCTCAAAATGTTACTTAAAGGTGGGGTATGTAATTTATTTCAGAAACACTTTTTGTTATATTCCATGGAATGCTCTTAACATCCTGATAGCAATGAATATATTAAATGCTTTGACAATAAATACATACAAAAATGTCATCTGTGGAAGCCGTAGCGCTTTAAAAAGCACGACCAATCATCTGAGCCGGCCCTGCTAAAATAACTGGATGGCCTACCTGCCTGTCAGCCTTCCATCTGTGCACAAACTTATCTCGTGGCCTCATTGGTCATGTGCGCGTTCATGTGTGTTGGAGGAGGGGCTGTGTATTTTCAAATTCTAGCGCACTCGAGCTGGTTTCTCCAAAATTACCTACCCCACCTTTAAGTACAGTACTTGAATAAGTGTACTTAGTTACTCAGATATGACTTCAAGTCATGTGATCATTTCTTAGTATTTGATCCTTCAACTTGGCCTCAGGAAATGCAAGGACTTCACAGTTTTGGCAACACTTTTTTGAGACAGCAAATTGGAGGCTTAAACAGGGGCAGTGAGGAAGACTGCAGCATCTTCATCATCTACCATGCAAGAAGAGGAACTAGAGGACAGTGAGGAAGACTGCACTTATTACATTACATTTCATTTAGCTGACGCTTTTATCCAAAGCGACTTACAATAAGTGCATTCGACCAAGAAGATACAAACTTGAAGAAAACAGAATCATATAAGTACATCAGGTTTCATAGAGCCAAACCATTTTAAGTGCTACTCAACAGGCTTTAGATAAGCCAGTCCTTTGTTAGTATATAAGTGCTTTGTTAAGGAGGCGTGTGGTGCAGTGGGTAGGGCGTTGGTGTTCGGATCAGGGGGTCACAGGTTCAAACCCCACTGCAGTCAGCATGTCGTTGTGTCCCTGGGCAAGACACTTCACTCCAAATTGCTCCTGTGGGGATTGCCCACAGTATTGAGTATGTAAGTCGCTTTGGATAAAAAAAGCGTCTAACAAGTGACATGTAATGTAATGTTAGTATGTAAGTGCTTAGTTAGTATATAAGTGCTTTTTATTTATTTATTTAAAAAAAAAAAAAAAAATTATTTTATTGCTCGAAGTGGAGTGGTATTAACACCACGCTTGGTGAGGGGTGAGTACCAAACTCTGGCCCAATTCCAAACCACACTCTACCCACTCCCACTCCATGTCGGAGTGACACTCTCAGCTCAACAAGCCTCCCTCCTGTCAGATGGAGGGTGTAAATTATGAAGGGCCGTGTAGGCCAAAATTCAAACTAACCTCGCACATACACTACTGAAAACATCTGGTCTTGCACACACACTACTGAAATACTCTCACATTCACTAGTGAACACCTCACACACACACAAAAATGAAAATTAAACCTCACACACATACTACTGAAAATTAACCTCACACACACACACAACTGAAAATGAACCTCACACACTATTGAAATACTCTCACATTCACTAGTGAACACCTCACACACACACAACTGAAAATGAAACCTCACACATATACTACTGAAAATTAACTTCACACACACACACAACTGAAAATCGGCCTGGCCGATTATCGGGGCCGATATTCCGCATTTGACCGATTATCGGTATCGGCCTTTTTTTAAATCAAATTGCCGATAAAACTTTGGCTCTGATGCGGCCGTTTCTCTGGCTGCAGTCACCACTCTTACCCCTTTCACACCAAGGCTTTTCCCCTTCTAGCTCCGTGCTAGAGCTTTTCTGGTTCAGAACCGGTTCTTCGGTTTAGCGCCGGCTCTTTTCACACCGCTCAGAGCCCGACTGTTGCTGCCGCTGCTGCGTCATGACGTCACAGTTTACGTCGCTGATTTTCTCCCCAACGGAGCTCACAACAACAACAACAGGGGACTGCGTCGGGTCGATGATCGTGTTGCTTTTAATCATACGAAGCCAGATTAAATTAAATAACGACTTCTCCAACCTTATACTTTTCTCCAGAGTGCCGTGGTTCATTGTTTATTAATGTGTTTCAGCGACATTTACCGACCGCTGCAGTGCTGGCTGCTCTTCCACGAGTGTATTCTCCCGTTAGCTCCGGGTTAGCTCACACGGCTCTAAAGTATTCACTGTCTGACTGTCACACAAGCAGCTGATACATATCCCCAGTTCCCCTTAAGTGAATGTGTGTCAGTCTGAATTGACGCTGTTTGGTGTCAGTCTGAATTGACGCTGTTTGGCATCACAACGCTGTTATGAAAGTTTCTCTGGTATAACATGGGTGATGTTAGCATAGCAACCGAAGCTAAA